CAGACGGCGGCGCGCGAGAGCTGTTGCGAGTGGTGCTGGACGAAGCCCCGGGCGCTGCCGGAGGCTGTGCCGTAGTCGGTGCGGTCGACGGCGCTCGGGCTGCCGACCTCTTTGGCGAAGTTGAAGATGATTCTCTTGGTCGGCGGCGCAATGCCGCCCTGGCTTTCGACGAGACCAATTTTGACGATTCCGTTCATGCATCATGGCATGGAGCGCGTCGTAGTACTGTCCCTTGTGCTCTTTGACCCAGCCTTTGCCGGTCGCATGGACGAGCGGCCCCTGTGACTTGTGGCCGCGCTCTTTGCACCCAAGAACCTTGAGCAAGGTTTGGTCGAGGGTGCCGCCTAAAAAATTGTGGTAAGCCCCCCAAAAAGAAAGAAAGAAAAAAAACTGTTTTTCCGCGCGAGGACTTTTCGAGACTTTCCGAGAGTTGGCCTTTTTGCCATCGCCCAGCCAGCATGGTGGCTGACCTGCTGCTGGCTAAGCTGCGCGAGCTACAGGCAACAGTCGAGTCGACAGAGCCGGAGGCGTCCATCCTTCCGACATGCCTCTCCCTCCTCGATCAGCTCGGCACGGTGCTCGGCGGCGGCGGCCCTCCCCCTTTAACGACCAGGGAGGACCGGTACGGCGGCGTCGAGATTGAGGTACCGATTTCTGCCGCGGACACGCCGCACGCGCTCGGCGTTGAGCTCAGCCGCCGGATTGAGCAGTGGGCCGCCGCGGGCAAGCGAGGGCTCTGGCTCAAGATCCCGCTGGAGTGCGCCGCCTTTGCGGGCTCGGCGGCGGCGCAGGGCTTCCAGTTCCACCACGCAAAGCCGGAGTACGTCGAGATGACCCGCTGGCTGCCTACCGACCAGCCGAGCCCGCTTCCCGCCTACGCCTTCACCCAGGTACCCACCACCGCTCACCCGAGCCGTCACCAAAGTGTCTACTGCCGCCTTTCGCCCACGCCACCGCCTGCGCCTTTAGGTCGGCGTCGGCGGCGTCGTCGTCAACTCCGCGGGCCATGTGCTGATGGTGCAGGAGCGCGGCTCGGCAACACCTCGGCCGACTTCAGACCACTTCGGCTGCCTCGGCCAACCTCGGGCCACCTCGGCTGCACCTCGGCCCAGCTCCAGGCATCCGCCGTGCAGGAGCGCGTCTCTCCGACGGCGAAGATGCAGGGCAGCTGGAAACTGCCGGGCGGGCGTCGCGCGCGCACCGGAGGGCGAGGCTCTTTGGAGGGCCCTTCTCTGACGCTTCTCGGAGCCTTCCACCAGGCGGGCTCGCCGATCCGGGTGAGGACTTTGCCGACACGGTCGCGCGCGAGGCGCGCGAGGAGGCCGCCCTGGCCGCCGCCTCCGGCG